TAGTGCTGATGTGCCCGTCGACATATCAGCATGCCCTCAAGGAGATGTTCATTTATAACAGCGCTTACGTACGCGTCAGTGGAGACGAAACCGCAATCCTGACAGAGATGTCGGCCGAATATAAAATAGGAGGAGTAGAGAAGGTGGCTGCTTGGAACGGGAAAGGCCAAATAGGCAACGCATACGCATTGCCTAAGCATAAGGATCTCAACAAGTGAAGACCTATTGCGTCCGCCAATACGGAGCCAACAAGGACAGGGAGTAGGAGATTGGTAAGGGCGCTCAATGCTTTGCTCGCGCGGCTTCCTGCTGCTGAGCATTTCAACATAGGTGCGACGACACAGCTGAAGGAAAACCTCAGGATGATCGAGGAAAATCATGGTTGCAAGAAAGAAAGCGCGATGATGGTCTTGCGCAGTTATGACATTAAGGAAATGTTTACTTCGCCACCACAAGAGACAATCGTAGAGGTGGTCGAGTAGTTGCTCAGAGAATGGGAGAAGAAAGAGAGAGTAAAAGTCAGTGAGAGACGAAAAACCAAAGAAGTGGTCTTTAACCGCAAGTGTTTGGGAAGTGGCTACACGCCGATCACATTCAAGGCTATCAGGAAGTATGTGAGGTTCGAGCTGGCGCATACGTACACATCGTGTACTGGTACGTTGCTCAAACAGATTGTAGGCATCCAGATGGGGAAGAACTCGAGCCCGCCGTTGGTGTGCATTCTTTGCGCCAAATACGAAACCGAGTTCATCAAATCGTTGGGAAAGGATCAAGCACTTTTCCACGAAATCAGGTTCATGGATGATGCGGCGACGATACAAGTGGACAGACGAAGGGAGGAATCATTCCACCAGGTAGAGGCGATCATGAAGGCTTTCGAAGGTTGCTACGAGGAGAAACTCACACTATTGAGGACGGATGTGGGGGACAACACGATTGACTTCATTGCTGCCAAGGTCTCGGTAGCGGCCAACCCAGTCAGATTCATGATTGCGCCCCGGATTAAGAACCAAGATTGGATTATCGATGGAGTGATGCCATTCAGAAGTTTTCACAACTTTTCAGGACTTTGCGTCCTACTCCGACAAGAGGACAAAGTATGAGGCAATCATCGGTGCATTCCACGGAATCCATCGCATGGCCAACTCCGGTTGTGCTGTGGTTGTACCGATACTGACGGTCAAGCTGGAACTGAGATGCCGGGGGTACACCCCGGCGTGCTTCACATCCTCCCTGGCAAAGTTTGTCAGGGGTACCACCGCTGGTGAGGAGGCATGGTGACGAACCCGCCGGGATGGCGGTCCGTCAGGACCAAGACGAAGGGATGAGGATGGGGGAGATGGAGATGGAGCTGGAAGGGACAACGCAGCTCCAACGCAGACTCAACATGCACGTACTCCAATCTGTGCAAATGAAGAATGAGTCACAAAACAAACTGCAGCTGGGGTATACCTCCAGCGGACTGACTGGACTGGACTGGATTGGTACCGACAGTGGTACTGGGCAGGACTAGAACAACACACGGCCTATGGGGTCAGGCCACGGCCTGGTCCCACAGGCCGAACTGGGCAAATAGCCAAATAGACCCTCGTTGTAGGCCAGGGCAGGTGAAGGCCCGTTGCACGATCCTCAGACCTGTAATGGATCGCAAGAGCCATAAACACGCTATCCGCAAAAGCAGCGGAACTTTGCAATAAAGAAAGCTGAGAAATCTAGGATGCGTAGCAAGCTTCATGCGGAGTTCATGCGATGCACCGTAAGCTACATAATGTCAAAAGAAAAGCAAATGTCTGGTATACATATCCTAGCTAACAGCAGAAAATGAAATGTAGTATGATACAATCCTAAAGTCCTGGAGGCAGTGGCCTCAGTGCTGAAAGGAAAAGAGCAATATGTCACAAGATAATGTCATGTCGCTGAACCACTAAGAGTGGGATGGTCTCAGAGGGGGTGACTGCAGCCTAAGAATTGAAACTCCTAAGGGCAGTCACACATGAAGGTAGGATAGGTCATCAGGCTCAAGGTGGGAGAGTGGTAGCGAAACAAAACCAATAACCCTAACAGATAGACCATCAAGGCGGGTAATGCTCGACAAAAGGGTGACACCATGCAGGGTCGACTATGAAAAGAGGAGCCTGGAATAGGGTGGAGCTATGCCGAACTGGAGGCATGCAATAACCGGCGCTAGGGTGATGAGGGCAGTTGGTGAGGAAAACATGCTCACAACTAACTGACTGGGAGAGGGAGCTAGATCTGGGAGCAAGGAAGCCAAGATAACGCTACGGTCCCAATGCTTATGCGATACCAAGGGAGAGCCAAACTCAAAGAGACCCAGCTAAGTGAGAACCATCATGCGACAGGGGCAAGGGAGTATACAGGGTAGGGTAGTGACGTGAAGTAGTCACGTCCAAAGTAGCTGAATTCGTAGAAGTAGTCGATGACGTCGATGAAGTAGCAGTGGAGTCGATGTCGAAGCAGAGCCGCAAAACGCTGACATCCTGAAGAAGAGATGATGATGGAGTACCTAATGGTGTGAGTCAGTGAGGGAAGATAGTGGATAAGAGTGTCAGTCATCGTAACGCGAAGGGCAACGATGAGTGCGCTGTGGATGCTCGGAGGCGACCGTCTGCGGTTGAGGAAAGGCCTCCGAGGGAGCGGGCGCGTCCTCAGCAATCTCCTCAGCTGGAGGAGGAGGAAGAGGGTCAGTCGGCTGAGTAGAAGCAGATGTCTCAGCACGACGAGCACGATCATATGTATGCACCAACATCCTGGCGTGCTGCAAGTGCTCGAGGGGCTCCCAAGTAGCCTCCTCATCAGGGTAGCCCTTCCAACGCAGAAGGTACTCGATGCGTGGAGGGGTATCGTCGGTAACTCGGTGTGATACGATGTCGGAAACAACGAACTCCTCGTGACCATCCACCATGATAGGTGGAGGGCGCTCATAAGGGCGTCCGGCGCAGCGCTCGGACGGTCTGCGATAAGGACACAGCAAGGAGACATGGTAAACATCGTGTCCGCGAGCCTGTCGAAGGTAATCAGGTAGCTTCACATGGAAGTTGACTAGAATAGCGGCAGTATCAGAACCGACGGCCTGAAGGATGCGGCATGGACCGAAGAAATGACGCCTGAACTTACGGGCGTATCTGCTTCGGGCTGTAAGTGGCGTGCGTCGACGAGCACATCGTCACCGACTTTTAATGGATGATCCATTCGTGATCGGTTCGCTCGTGCGGCCATGCGAGTCTGGGAGTCGGCTAAACTCTCGTGTGCGCGCTTCATAATCGCCGCCATGTGGGCGATCCAGTCGTCAAGCGCAGGGCAACGAGTGTCTGGGCGCAACCACGATGGTCGTAGGAAATCCGCGGGTACGCGAGGGTGGTAGCCGAGGTTGCAATAGAATGGCGACATCCCCGTGGCTGGCGAAACAGCGTGGTTGTACACAATCTCCGCGTGGGCTAAGTGTAAGTCCCACTGCTGGTCATCCCTAACAAACTTTCGGGGGATATTACCGAGAGTTTTGTTGGTGACCTCAGTCTGACCATTCGTCTGAGGGTGGTAAGACGATGAGAAGCGGAGCTGGGATCCGTACACCTCGTGTATGCGTCGCCAAAATGTGCTGGTAAAGCGCGGGTCACGGTCGGAGATGATGCTCTCTGAGGTAAGCCGTGATCTCTCATGACTCGGTCGAAGACGATGTCGGCGACCTCACGAGCGCTAATGCGATAGCGGCACGGAACAAAACGTACACGCTTCGTGAAGCGATCGACGACGACCAAGATAGCTTCATGACCGCGCTGAGTGGGTGGGCGGAGGGGACCAATGAAATCCATCGAGATGGACTGCCAACGACCTTCAGGTATGGGTAGGGGCTGAAGTAACCCATACGGAAGGTGGTTCACACTGTTCACCTCCTGGTAGGTAGGACACTCCTGGATGTAGGCTTTGACAAAGTCCTTGGACTTCGGCAAGACGTATAGGCGGCAAACACGAGCCAACGTCTTGTGGAAACCCATATGACCGGCAACTGCCTGGTCATGGAACTCTGCTACAGCCTGGACGCGGAGCTGTCTGGTGGAGGGAACGCAGATACGTGGTTCTAGTTGACCAGATCTGCCATGCCAGTACACGAGGCCGTTCTCCCCGAGGGACTAGGAAAAAACGGTCTTGCCACTCCGCAGTGTCGCGTGGATGACGCGATAATCGGGGCAGTGGCGGTACTGAGTGCGATACGCGTCGATCACCGACTGATCAACAGTGGTGATGGAGATGGCCGCAAGCTGGATGGGTTCTTGATTGTGATCAGGACGGTGGGACAAGGCATCGGCGACGCGGTTCGTTTCACCCTTGATGGGCTAAGTGGTGAAACTGAACTCGGATAAGTCACGCCACCAGCGTGCCTGTCGAGGGGAAAGCTTAGGCTTCGTGAGAAAAGCCTGGACAACTGAGTTGTCCGTGCGCACCGTGAAGGGCGCCCCGTGCAGATAATAACGCCAATGCCGGGTAACATAAACTACTGCGAGAACCTCACGTTCATCGGCAGTGTAGTTTATCTCGGCAGGCAGTAGCTGACGGGAGTAGAAAGCGATCGGGCAATCCCCAGCACGAGCCTCGACAGTCCCATCCTCCGCGATGGTCGGGGAGTAAGTAACAGGAGGACTGTCAGTGGAGGGAAGTGGTGGGAGGGTAGGCGTCAGTCGAGAAGCAGTGTCGGCGGGAGGGGGGGGAAAAGGAGGAACATGGGGGTATGGTGAATCTGGAGGAGAGGGAAACACCTGAGAAAGGACAACTCCTACTGCAAAATCTGACGCATCGGTGGTGACGATAAAGGGACGATCAAAATCCGGAAGGCGAAGAACCGGCGCACAGGTTACGGCCTTCTTGAGGGCGCGAAAGGCGTCCTCGCACAGGGGTGTCCAAAACCACGGCGGGTTCTTCCGGAGGAGGGTAGAGGTAAGGACGTAGGAATACCTAGCGTATCCCTGGATAAAATTACTATAGTAGCTGGTGAGGCCTAGGAAACTGCGAAGCTGCTTGGCAGATGTGGGGACGGGTCAGTCTGCAATAGCAGTGATCTTCGCGTCGTCCATGTGGAGACCCTGGTCAGACACATGGTGTCCTAGGAAGTCCACTTTGCGTTGGGCAAAGCGGCACTTACTGAGCTTGGCATAGAAGCCATGCTTGCGTAAGCGTTGTAGGACATCACGGAGGTGTCTGAGATGGTCTTTTAAGATACGACTGTAGACCAGGATGCCGTCCAGGTATACGAGAACGTATTCTTCAAGGATGTCCCTGAAGATGTTGTTCATCGCCGTCTGGAAGGTGGCGGGTGCATTGGTGAGGCCGAATGGCATCACCGTGAACTCGTTGTGGCCGAAGCGCAATCGGAAGGCGGTCTTCGGCTGATCCTCTGTGGCAACGCGGATCCGGTGGTAACCGCTACGGAGATCGATCTTCGTGAAGAAGCGGTTGCCTGCCAGACGGTCAAACAGCTCATCCGTGCGGGGCATGGGATAACTGTTCTTAACCGTGTAACGGTTAAGGCCGCAGCAGTCGATGCAGAGGCGGAGAGTTCCGTCCGCTTTGCGAGCAAAGAGGACAGGTGCACCCCAAGGGGAGTTAATGGGCTTAATGAAACCTAGTCGAAGGAGATTCTCAAGCTGACGCTTGAGTTTCGTCGCCTCTGGAATCGAGAGTCGGTACGGTGCCTGATGGTGAACACGATAGTCAGGCATGAGCTGGACAGAATGCTCAACACCGCGCATCAGGGGAATCCCGCTGTATGAGAAATACGGGGGGAAGACGTTGCGGTACTCTCGAATCAGGTCGCGAACGGCGGGCTCTAAGTCTGTCGTGAACCGTGTGAGTTCCTCAGCATCTGCATCGGCACGAAACGTATGTGTGGACTCGACAGTCGACGGCTCAGGGGCCTGGGACGTGGAGGGGGTATCCGCAGGCTGACGGATGGACGTAGAGATAGGAGCCGAAAAGATGGAGGAAGGGTCAGGGGGATCGGGCTCCAGATAGATGAGGTTAATTCTCGGGACAGGGTGGATCATAGCGAACAAAATTCATGACGTTCATTGAGTAGAATGTGACGTCCTCCTGTCGTATGAAGTGAGCAAACTGACGAGGGGAAGTGAACGCGATGTCGGGGTGGGACCCTGAGGGACGAGGGTCCTGGGGAGGTAGGTTGGGCGGGGTGTCGCCCATGGTTCCAATGAACGGGACGCGATGAGTCTGACCACACGTCATTTTGAGAACGAGTGTCTCGGTCGCCCATTCGGCCTCTGTGCCATGGAACCGGCGAGTCCAGGGAGTGTCAAGGATAAAGTCGTACCCGGTCTCCAGCACGTCGAAGTATGCGGAGGAATGGTAGCGCCTAGGCGTCTGGGTACTATCCGATGGCTGAAGGGTGAGGGAGAAGTGGAGGTCGGGGACCGTCTGATCGAAGAAGCGTTGCGTCTTGTTATCTCCGAGGGTAACGGAGATAGGAGAGCGAGACCCAGAGGTAGCTAGGCGAGCTTCCTCAACCACTCGAGGGTGAACGAAATCTCCCTGCGAGCCTGAGTCTCATAAAGCGCGGTACACCCTCGTAGATGTCCCTAGGCGAATAGGGATGATGGGTAGGGTGCGATCAGGGTCAGAGAGCAGAGCGAGAAGACGACGCAGGACGTTGATGTGTCGCGTGAGTCGCTCCTGACGAGCTTGGAGAATGCTCAAGTCCAGGAGAGATGACACAACGTCATCGCGAGTCGCCAGCTGAGCGCTACAATGGGCTGTGCGAATGGCGCGATGCGTCGGAAGTCTCGGGGGAGAAGCGCTAGATGCGGCGGTCGGCTGGGAGGCAGACGATACCTCGACAAACGACGGGGCAGAGAGAACTGCGTCTGTCATGTCCTGAGGATCCTCTGGTGGGGTAGCCAAAGGGGCAAACCGCGACTCGGTGGTTGGGAAGCCGGCTACGAGCGAGGCCTCAGGGGTACACTGCACCGTGGCTAGCTGGGTGGGGCTGGCCGGGCGGGGCCGAGGAGGGGCTGAGATCGGCGCTGACGAGAAATGTCAGCGTAGTACCGATCGAGGGCGGTGTGGTATGGACACCGTAAGGAGGTGTGTCCATCCTGGCGGCAACGAAGGCAGCCTCGTCGGGCCTCGAGGGCGGCATGCTCCTCGGGGGATAGAGCTCCGCGAGGAGGGACAAAACCCTGCGGGAGGTCTATCTGAGGAACTGTGGGTGTGCGGGCGCCAGCCTGTGCAACTCGACTGCGTGCACGACCCATGGCAGACATGGCCATCTACAGGCGCTCGACCATTGGGACAGTGTCGTCATCCAAGTGGTACTGGATAACGTCCCAAAGCTCGATGTCCTCGGGGGCGTCCCCAATGGTAGGATCGAGCTCGGCTGAGGCGTCCTCTCCATACTCGAGAGAACTGTAGTGCTAAGCGAATGGCGCTCCAGGTCGAGCCGGGCGACGAAAACGACCAGCAAACGAGGAGCGGCCTCGGGTGGTACCCCGAGACTGGGAGGTGGCGGCTGGCCGCGAAGAGGATGGGGGGACGGAGAAGCGACTGCACATCCTCTGGTAAAGACGCGCAGCCTCGTATGCCTGCTCCACGGAAGAGAATGATCACCTCCATAGCTCTAGGCGGTAGTCAGTCGGCAGGCTGACAAGGAACCGGTCGGTGAGTGTGACCTCCGGTAGGAACGTCTCGTCACAAACAAGGCGAGCGTCCTGAAACACCCGGATGTGACGCTCCAGGTCGGCCGGTACAGAGGACCCGGACCATCTGGTCTGGGTGACGCGGTCTAAGGCGTCGGTGGCGTCATGATGAGCGCCGAAGCGTTCCTGAAGGAAGGCCGCGAAGTCGGCCAGAGTGGGGACCTCACCCACGCGGAGGCACTGGGTATAATGATCCTCCCACGCAGTGGAAGGGCTACCTCGCAATTTGGTTGCGAGCACATCACACCACAACTCCTAACGGTTGGTTGTCATAGAGAGCATACGTGTTGCTATCTGCAACCAGCGAGAGACACGGGATGTGCCATCATACTCGGGAATGTCCGTGGTGCGCACAGGAGGATGTCCACTGTGCTGATGGCGGGGGGAGAGAGATCGAGGCGAGTGCACTGGGGCGGCGTAAGTCGAGGCCGCTGCATGGGCGGAGGTGGGAGAAGGCTGTGGGCCGTGGCCGCTGGCTGATGGACCAGCAGACGAGGAGGCAACGACTGCGGGCAGCTGTCCCGGAATAGCCAGGTAAGAGGGAAGAGGCTGAGGACCAGGTCGAGGGAAACGAGCCTGCATCATGGGGACCGAAGGGGTGGTCGAGGAGGAAGGGTGGGTAGCCTGTGATGGGTGAGGCTGTCTCAGAGCGAGAATCTCCGCCTGAGCCTGCACAATGGTGGCCTGTAAAGTAGCCACCCGCTCGGTGCACGGGGTCGGAGGTGGAGGGGGCAGAGCGGGTCTCCCAGTGGGAGGAGGAATCCCAGCCTGGGCGGTACCCTGCTGTGGGGGCGGGGGGACGAAGGCAGGAAGAAGAGGCCAGAGCCGTATTGCCGCGACCGGTGCGGGAAGCTGAGAAGCAACACCGGTGTGGGTCGATGAAACTGCTGGTCCAGAGGGCGGTATCTGGACCGCAGCACCTACGACAGTAGTAGAGACGGTAGGGGTGGCCGTGGCCGGAAGAACTGTCGCAACAGACGGGGTGGTCTGAGCGGCAGCAACACTCGCCACCGTTGAGGGGGAGAGTTGGGCCTGGCCCGCAGAGGAGGGGGAACCATGGTGACTCCGTCTCTGGAGTCGAGGGGAGCCGGACTCGGAGCCGGTAGGGGATGGGGTATAGGAGTGGTGGGGAGAGCGATGAGGAGAGTCCTTGAGGCGGTTGACGTCAAGGGCAAGCGCATTGATTTGCGCTTGCAACGGTCCAAGCGTACTAAGTTGCGCTTAGATCGCTACGAGGGTGGCATGAAGGTCCATCGTGTCCGCATGGGCCTGATCCTGACCCGTTGGCTGAACGCTTACCTGGTAGGTGGGCAGCGCCGCGGTGATCTCCTCAGAGGAACTCCCTTCCATGGCCGGGAGGGAAAGGGAGGTAGAGCTCACGGGGGTGTGGGGGGAGAGGGGCCCGCCGGTAAGAGGAAGGGGACCGCGGGAGCGGCGTGAGTATGTGTGAGTCGGCTCACCCCGGATTTGGCGGGTCGTGCGTGAGAAGAACGCCCCAAATCGCTCGAGGGGGGAGGAGCCGTTCGGGTCCAGGGTGCCCGACGGGAGGAGGCAGGAGAGTAGGGGGTTTGGAAGAACCCTAAACCCTAGAAAAAACCTAGGGAAACCATAACCGGAGTTTAGGTGGTTAGGAGTAGGTAGCGGCGACCTAATCAAGAAAAAAAAAAAATAATAATAATAATAACTATAAAGGGGAGAAAACAGAATAAACAGTAGATTTTCGAGAAAAAGATAAAATAAAAGAAGAAATATAAATAAATAAATAAATAAGATGTAAAGAGCGAGGGAAGAGGAATTATTTATTTTTTTGAAAATTTCGGCAGCATTTTCTTACCCCAACGGGGTCAAAATGTGCAAAGAGAAAGGAGAGACTAAGAAAAACATACTAATTTTTACAATGCCGCAAATTAAAATTTTCAGAAAAATAAGTAAATAAATAAATAAATAGATAAAAAAATAAGGAGGTGGAGGAGAGTGAAGAGAAACTAACCAAGTTTTGGATTTTTCACAAATTTCGGCAGCACTTCGTTACCCCCACGGGATCAAAATGTGTGCCGAAAGCAAAAATGGCTAAGTCCTAAGCAAATTTTAGCGTGCCGTAGAAAAATTCGAATTTTCAAAATAAATAAAGGAAAATAAAATAAATCAGAAAGATGAGAAAAGAAGTAGGGAAGAAGATAATTCAAATTTTTGGAGGAACGGCGAAAATTTAAATAAAAAAGAAATAGAAAATAAGAAAAACAGAAAAAATCGAAGTG